TTTTTTATATATCATAGGATAAACTTCGAGAGTTCCTGCTGGATCAGGCTATGTTATCTATTGTGCGGGCTGTGGGCCATAATTGTGTAGAGACTTGTGCTATCTCACCTGACCATCATCAATAATCGCAGGCTGGTCCCATAGCCCTCTGCTTCACAGTGTGGGAACATGGCCCGAGAGGGCTGCGGGTGCTCGTGGTGGCGAAGAAGTCTCTAGCCGAGGAGCAGTATCAGGACTTCGAGGTAAGTGGTTCTGTGACGGTTGGTTATTCTCAGCCCTGCCCACCTGCCGGTCACATCTCCTCCCAGCTGCCCCTCGCTCCTCCTGCTCTTGCCGTCCTCCTGTCACTTCTGAGCACAGTCAGCTTCACTCCTGTCCCCGGCCTTTGCACTTGCTCTCTGAGTGCACAGAACTCTCTTTCCTCCTGTTGCTCCGCGGCCCACTCCCTCACTTCCTTTGGCTCTCAGCTCAGATGCCGCCGCCTCTGAGAAGTCCTCCTGGACTCCCCATCTAAAGCAGCCCCACCTCAACACTCGCCACCCTTCACCCCATTGAACTTTCTTCATTGCACTTAACATCTAGAATGACCATATACATAAACATTAACATATCTTTTCTGGAATAGAATCTTTTTGAGAGCACTTTGTTACTCTGCTTGGCTCTTATATCCCCAACGTTTAGGCTGGTCATTGGCACATAGCACACCTCCTGGAAAATTTGGAATGAGGCCCTAGTTCTTTAAAGCTGTAAAAAATATTAATGTTGAACCAGATCATTGACTTGCACAGCCAAGGGTTCCAGCATAAATATGTCATCTTGTCCCGTAGATTGTGTGTCCCTCGAAGGGAAGTGTCTTTGTTAGGTCCCCAGTCCTGGCATAAAGCCAAGCGCGCACACCCATGCAAGACGGGAAGGGAGGGGGGAGGCTGGGGGATAGGCTCTGGCCCTTGTCCTGTTCCACCCAGAGAAGCTGTGCTTGTCCGTCTCTTTTATGTGTGAGTTCTCTGTACAGTTTTAATTAACAAGAGGCCTAGCCCTGATCAAGTCCACCTTCCTTTCCATTTTAAAGGCATCAGTTTCGAGTCGGGCCATGAGGGGCCTTTGATTTTCCTCTAGGTCTTTGCCAGCACTGGAAAGAGGGGAGAAGCAGAAGGGTTGGGTCGATGGTCTTCCGAAGTGGGACTTCGTCAAGGACGCTTGGTTACAAAGTGTGCTTTGTGCCGGAGAACCTACTGCTTTTCTGAGCTCTTGAGTTGTGCCAATCCTTGCAACAACCCAGTGAGGTTGGGGCTGTTATTGCTGCTTCTGGGTGGAAACAATAGAGGCTCAGAGAAGTTAAGCAACTTGCTGGAAGTTGCACAGCAGGTGGGTGTAGAGCCAAGGGTGGAACTCAGGTCTGTCCAACTCCCGTGTCTGGACTGTGAACTTGGGAGGGACCGAAGCCTCCGTGTCATCCCTCTGAGGGCTACACCAGGTGCTGCGGTGGGATCAGCATGCCGTCCCACTCGGCGTCGGACAGCCTTGTACCTCCCCATTCTAAGCGTGTCCCCTGCTGTGTCCCAGGCTCGCTACGTGCAGGCCAAGCTGAGCGTGCACGACCGCTCTCTCAAAGTGGCCACGGTGATCGAGAGCCTGGAGATGGAGATGGAGCTGCTGTGCCTGACGGGGGTGGAAGACCAGCTGCAGGCGGACGTGAGGCCCACGCTGGAGACGCTGCGGAACGCCGGCATCAAGGTAGGCGGCCTGCTGCGGCCTGGCTGCTGAATGACCGCCCTGGGAAATGGGCTCCGGAATTATACAGCTATCCCTTGAGCGGAGTGCAAAGGTGGGGGATGGGAGAGGGGGACGTGTGACAGAGGGAGCCAGGCGTGCAGGGACTTCCAGCCCTGTCTCAGGTGGGCCCCTCGTCACCTCCCCGCACATGCAGCTCTGCACGTTTGCATACCTGACTGGCCCTTCCTGACCAGGCTGGACTCCATGCAGGCAGGACCGCACGCGGCTCCTCATCCCTCAGTGCCAAGTGTGGCCACTATATCCCTGTGAGTGGCCAGCCAGCCAGCCGTCTGTCAGTGCATCTGGGTGGATGGGTGACCACCCAACAGAGTGACCGCTTGCCCCAGCAAACTTTTGCGTTTTGTACTCGACTCTTTGGGGCCCCCAAATGTCCAGTAGTTTAATCGGGAGAGGCCAGTAGAGGGCGTCTGAGGAGCCTGCAAAGGATCAGCGAACTTCCTGGCTCAGCGCCTCTGAGAACACGTATGTGTTTGCCACCCGCCTCCGCCCCAAAGCAGCTCTGGGCTGCGTCCTCGGGCCTGCATTCGGCAGAAGCGCGTGTGAGCTGGGCCATGCGAGCTTGTGGATTAAGACCGGCCACAAGGGCGCTCCGGGCACGTCCGTGCCCACCGGGGGCTCCCGTGTGTGCGAGTGTGGGTTTTTGTAAACCAAACGCTGTCACGTACCTTTGGCTCATAGGAAACTGACGGCGAGATCCCAATTTTGAAAAAACGGCCTGATGTCAGAGGGCCCGTTTCTACTGCGTTGTGGTGTTTAAACTTTGTCCCTGGGCCATTTCCAGGACCTCCCTATTGGGACCTCGCTGTGCTGCTTTGGGGCAAGTCACCTCTCTGCCCCCACAGCAGTGAGGGATCTGTTCCGAGGTTGGAACCTGGAGGTCCACCACCAGCGTTTTGTAGTCAGGGTTAACCCCACGGGATTCCTGACCGGCATCCGACCAGGTAGAAAGACCATGTGTCCGTGACAAGTCCGTGTTTCCTGTGGGACCCGCAAGTGACCCCTCCCCATGCAGGCTCCCCTTTCTTAGAGATCAGTTATGACTTTAAGAAAAATTCCCCGAAGAGGGGTTGTGAGGCCAGAGGCTGGGCTCCGCGATGTCTCCTGAAGCGTGTGGCCCAGCGGGTCTCCGAGTACCACACCGGCGTCTGCTGCCACCAGGGGTGGTCACGCCTCGTCCTGACGGCCTTGAACGGGGCGTTTCCTGTCACGTGTGGGGCCCCGTGAGCCTCGAGGAGGTAAACGGGACACACTAAGTTCGGCTCGATGTTCCGGGAAACTCGGCCGACGCAGGCGACAGGCCGCCTCCAACAACACTAACCACGGGGACCTCTTTCATGCGGTGACTCCAGGTTTGGATGCTGACGGGGGACAAGCTGGAGACGGCCACATGCACAGCGAAGAACGCGCATCTGGTGACCAGAAACCAAGACATCCACGTGTTTCGGCTGGTAAAGCGTTCTCTGCGGGGGGCCTCCTGGGGGTGTGGCTGCAGTTTGCCCGTAACCTCATAATCTCGTGACCTCATAACCTCGTGACCTCATAACCTCGTGACCTCAGGGGGAACACGTTAACCTGCTGGGCGGGGGCTTCCACGGTCGGTTTGGGAGGAATCACTGATGAGCCAGTGAGGCCGGAGGCTCCTTCCGGTGGTGTCTCCGGAGCACCCCGTCCCGTCCCGGCCTGTGTGGACGTGTGGCCTTAACCTGGTGGGGTCATGGGCCCTTTGAGAGGCTGCTGGAAGTAGGCAGGTGGCATGAAGGATGCAGCTAAGCGCATCGATGTGAAATAGTCCCTAGGAGTCCAGGGTTTCACCAAGTCCTTGACGGCCAGTCCTGGGGTAAGAAATAACGTCCAGATCACAGGTATTGGCCTGAAGGAACACCTGGGAGCCTTCAGAAGGAGGTGTGTTGGGTGGGCGCGGGAGAAGTGGCCCCAAACAAGCAGGCATTAGGAGCCCCAAGGCTGGAGGCCAGGGGCTGTGCCCGGCCTTACTGAGCTGAGGTGAGGAGCAGGGTCCTCTGGGGCAGGGTCCCACTCATCTGAAATCGGAGCC